GCTGCGCCACCAGGGAGGGCCCAGGTTTTCTCTTTGTAATCAGCGTAAGTTCTAAGTAAAACATCTTGTGTGTGTTGGGTCCAGAAAGCCGTCATTCACTGCTACTCAGCCATTGTCCTCCTGCCTGCTCTGTAGAGTCAACGTTCAGAGCTGGGAACCAGGCTCTTCACTGTGGCGCCCAGCCGCTCTTGCTAGAAGAAGTTGATAGCCCCAAAGCATCTGTATTTCTTATTAGGCTCAGTTTTTTAAAATTTTTTGACATTAAAAAAATTTATTGATGTATCTATTTACATTGTTGTTCAGTTTAAAGCAATGTATACTTCCTCCCCAGTTTTTTTTTGTTGTTGTTGTTAAATATCCCCCTCCTGCCCATGTGGGCTTTCCCGGTATTAAATTGATCCTCATGCGCTGACTCAGTCAGGCTGTTGCGAGATGCCAGGAAGGGATATGCCTCTTCAAAGGAAGGTAGAGCACAAGTGATAAACAGAGTAACGCAGACCTCTCCCCTTACCACCCGCCCCAGCACGTCCAGCTGATCCTGACTGAGGTCGAGGAGTCCTGAGCTGCGGCCACAGGACTGCCGCCCCGCCAGGTGTCACCTTTCCCCCTGTAGTGTGGAAGGTACTGGTGTGTCGTATTTAAGCTCGTCCTCCTTTCTGAGGTGGGAATACTCGATTTACTTGCCTTAGAGTCAGAGGAACTGACTTAGGCGTGGGGAGGGTAGCAGGTGAGTCTTGGCCAGGGAGCAGGAAGGAGGAAGACGCCTGGATGCCCTTCTCTGCTCGGAACCTGACCGCCTCGGCCCCAGTGTATTCCATATGCAGTGTTGCTGGAGGCCCTTGCCCTTCGGAACGTGCGGCAGCTGGAAGACCTGGTCATCGAGGCTGTGTACGCTGACGTGCTCCGCGGCTCTCTGGACCAGCGCAACCAGCGTCTGGAGGTCGACTACAGTATCGGACGGGACATCCAGCGCCAGGACCTCAGTGCCATTGCACGGACCCTGCAGGAGTGGTGAGACCTGTGTCCTGCCACTGTCTCTTCTTGTCTCTCCCAGGAAAGGGAGTGGTGCTTCGGAGTATTGGGGTGGCGGTGCAGGGGTGTGGGGGCAGGGTGCCGGGCTGCACTGCAGAGGTGGAATCCAGAGGATATAGGGAAATCCTACTTCATCCAAGACTTCTGAGGGGAGAAAGGAGCTGCAAAGTGCCTGGAAGGCAAGAGACAAGTCTGAAGGATCCGGAGTGGGAGGTTGGTCACTGTGTTTGGCTGGGTTTAACCCATTGGTCTGTAACCAGAACTACCCACAGGCCTCCGGCCTCTTCGCCCTTTCTCTCTGTGTTCTAACTTCTGTGTGCCTTTATTCATTAATACACCGTCCCCCTCCTTAGCACTCTAAAGTTCATTTTCGGTTCCTGCTCCCATCTTGCACATCACTCCAGGCACTTCTCTTACCCTGCTGAGTGTCTCTCTAACTCCCAGGATATTGTTGCAGGTGGTTCCCAGGTGCTGTGCCGGGGTTCCTAACTCAGACAAGGCATTGACTGTCAGGATCTCGGGTCCTTTCTGAATCTGTTTCTTGTGAGTCTTGGTCGCGGCCCTCTTCAGCTGACACTTCTTCCCTGCTGATGCCCTCAGGTGTGTGGGCTGTGAGGTGGTGCTGTCAGGCATTGAGGAGCAGGTGAGCCGTGCCAACCAGCACAAGGAGCAGCAGCTGGGCCTGAAGCAGCAGATTGAGAGTGAGGTGAGCAGGCAGGGGCGTAGGAAGAACCCAGGTCCAGCTGAGCTGGCTGTCTTGTGCGGAGGGCTTGGGGCAGTGACTGGAGCAGACAGATAGTGGAGCAGGACTGTCAGGTTCTGGAGACTTCCTTGCTATACGTCATTCCTTTCATCCTGCTAGGTCGCCAATCTTAAAAAAACCATTAAAGTTACCACAGCAGCCGCCGCTGCAGCCACATCTCAGGACCCTGAGCAACACCTGACTGAGCTGAGGGAACCAGCCCCTGGCACCAACCAACGCCAGCCCAGCAAGAAAGCCTCAAAGGGCAAGGGGTGAGACAAAGTGGCAGAAATCACTTGCTTTGGGGTGCCCCACTTTTCCTTCAGAGCCCTGACTGCCCTCACTAGTCATTTGCAGGGGGGTAGGTTAACAGGAGTCTTCAGGAGTTAGGGGATTCCCTACCTACAGCCTCTCTTTCTCTCTTCCCCTTGCCAGGCTCCGGGGGAGTGCCAAGATTTGGTCCAAGTCGAACTGAAAGGACTGTCGTTGCTTCCCTGGGGATGTGGGATCCATCTGCCTGCCGGCCCTTAGGACTCCTCAGAGAGCCTTCCTGTGCCCCTGGCCAGCTGATAACCCTAGGCTCATGACCGTCTCCTCCCACCATTTCGCCCCCACCCCCAAACAGAGGTCACACTTTCCCCAGGCAGGAGTTGAGCCCAAGTCACATTTTTGTAGGCACCTTTTGTTTGTGACTTTCTTCTGTGTCCCGTTGTCCCCCCACCGCCATGCTCTCGCCTGTTTCTTTAAGAGCCGCCATGGAGCCCTGTGTGTTGTATGTCGTGGCGCGGGTGGGGCTGCTTCAGCACCAGCATAACTCACGGGTGTTCCTTCTCAGCGGCCCCTACCCCTGCATGCCAGTCCCCACCCTTTCCCCGCCCCCAGCCTGTTTGGAGCATCAGAGGAGCCACCCAGCTCCACCTTTATTCCCACTGAGCGTGCTGGGAGGCAGTGTGCTGTCGAGGGAGCCAGGAGTCACTGGCCACTTTCGCCCCAGGAGCTAACACTATGATGGTTTCCTCTTCTCCCTTCACTCCTGGGAAGGCTGCTGCTTCAACCACCCCAGGGCCCACGAAGGGTAGCTGTTTCTTGAGATGTTGAGAGCTGGTTCTTCCTGGGCGCTGGCTACCTTGGAAATCTTCACTATCTTAGTGGCAGTCCTGAAGGATTTATACTTCCTTTTGTGAGTTTGGTGGGGAAGGGTAGGGGAAATAGATTGTATTGAAATAAAACTATATATATCTATATATCTATATCTATATATAACATTACGCAGAAATAAATCTATGAGAAACCTGTCTACAAACATGCCCTGAACGGTACCATCTTCTGTCTTTGATATCTGTGCATGGGTTCAGAAGGTTCATTCCTGGTCTGCTTAAACATAAAGTCTGGAAGAAGAAGAAGAGAGCCAGATACTGTGTACTGGTCCTGGCCTAGGAGCCTGGAGACCTGGATCCTAGCTGTATCACTTCAGACAGTCATCTCAGCGTTCACTTAGAAGCAGTGGGTGCAGCGGGTGCTTCCTGAGCACCCACAAGTGTTAGGCACAGTGCATGTATTGTAAAGTGACAGTCGCTGTCCCTGCTCTGGGGGGTTTGTGTTTGGCCTGTTCCTTCCCTTTCATAATTTATAAGAGCTGATAATGAGCTCGAGATTTTTGCATCAGAACTCTCAGATCTGCAGTAAGAAGCAGCTATTAGGCTCCCGTTTTCTATCCAAGGCAGACCTTCCAAAGCATTGTGCTGGAGGGATGACCTTGCCCTTGTGTGCTGTTGAGTGCTGTCTAGAATTGGAAAGTTTTAGGGTGAGGGACAGCTGACCCCCAACTTAGACGTGAAGTGGTTGCCCCCTGAGGCCGCCGTTTTTGGGTGAGCTACTTTCCAGAGCTGGTGCTAGTCTCTAGGTGGAAATTTAGAAACGGACCACTTTCCGCTGATCCTGAATATATTAGTCATATAGTTAGAAAGTGGGGGTGGCATTCTGAGTTTCTGATTAAAAGTGGGCTGGCTAGGCCTGTGGTCTGGAGGGGGCGATGGAAAACTGACAGGACCCTGTTTCCAGGGTTGTCACTTGTTGAGCCTGTTGCTTCTTGATTCTCAGTCTCTACTTCTGAAATAAACCCCTCCTTCCTCCCACACCCTCCAGTGTGTAGTAGTTTGTAAATTCCTAGTGCTTTGAACTTGTCCCTTCCTGGGAGAGTGCCCCAGTTTTTCTCTTTACCTTCGTATCTCATTTTTTTTGTAAGCTGATTTCAGCTAATTCCTCCATAACTTCTCTGACCTCTCAGTTCCTCTTTGTGGGACTGGACGAAGGCTAGGGTGAACTGGGATGACACTACCAGACATACCACCCAAAGAGAGAGGGGAACTAGTCACAGTCCCAAGGACATGCGAGTGTAATTTGCCTTTGGTTCACAAAGTTGGGGCTCTTGGCTACCAAGGCATTGGGGGAGGGGTGGGTGGGATTACATGTGGCTCAGTTTTTGACCCATAAGATTTGGTGCAGTATTTAAGGATTTCTTGGATGATCAAGCCCAGGACAACAAAAGAATCTTCCCAACTAAGAATCTTACTAGTACGTGCTGATTTCACATGCTGATCATCTTAGGTACGCTTAGGACTTTATGAGAATTCAGAATTCATGCATCTTAAGCAGGTAACATTTAAAAGATTAAACCAAAGTTTCCGAAGCTGAAAACAACTGATCTGGAATACCTCAGAGACACTGTCTCCAGTATTTTATGAAGTCCTCCCTGGTCGCGCAGTGGGGCAGGACACAGCTCTGCAAACTGGCCACAACCACTTCAGTGCAAGTTCAATCCCTGTCCCAGAGGTGATTCACATGGCACCCCAGACCTCTCCTGTTCACCCGCTGCTCCCCTCAGCAGTGAACTTTATCAGTCAGCCTGTTCTGCTCCCCAGTCTGTCTCTGGTGAATCCTCTCACCTCCCCTGCACCTCTGGCCTATAACCCAGTTCTGTATGCATAAATAAATCTTTTTTAAAAATTGATATTTAAAAAAAGAGAGAAATGACAATTTCTCTACTTATGTGAATCTTCCAGTGTGCATAGGTAGAAGGGAGGGGCCAGTTTCAGCACTGTATTTATTTGTTGCCATATAACCAATTTTACCAAAACTTGGTGACTTGAAACAACACATGTATTTTCTCAGTTTCTCTGATTTAGGAATCTGGGCACTACTGATCTGCTTCACGGTCTATCACGGTCATAATCAACTTAGCTAGGAGCATATCACTGCCAGGTTCAAGTGGGAAGAACTTACCTCCGAGCTTTCTCAGTGATTATAGCAGGACTACCGTCTCATAGGTGATTGGATTGAGGACCCTCATTTCTAGGCTGAGTGTTGGTCAGAGGTGCCCCTGGGGCCCCCGTCAGAGCAAGAGCCAGAGAAGCTCCACCAGCAAAGTAAAGTCATGGGAGAGAGAGCCCATCACTTTTACCAGTCACTAGGTCCTGCCTGGTAGTTGTCAGAAGCAGAGACCGTAGAAACCATGTCAGAAACCATATCAGAACTGTTCCTGTGGCCACAGCATCAGATTAGTCAAGGGAGACTTTGAAAATGCGCATTCCTGGATCTCACTCCCACCCAATTCCTACTGAATGAAAATCCTCAGGGTTTGGACTGGACATATGCATTCATGACCCTCCTCATTGACTCAGCGCTGAGCTGTGAAGTCCTATTTAGGTAAAAGATAGTGCCTGCTTGCTTCCCCTGAGAAAGTTCCTACTCAGGACCTTGGCTAGGGCCCCCGTAAGCAAAGGTGAGATATTGAGGACAGGATAAGAGGGTAACTTACCCTATCCTATCCTACCCTATCCTTTGAGGTTCATAAGTATATGATTATATAATTAAACGTGATAAGTGCTAAGAAGTATGGGGTTACGTGAAAGCATTTAACAGGGGGACTTGAATCTTGCCCTGAGTCAGGAAAGCCTTTTCCAGGGACATGACCTTTAAGCTGAAACTGGAAGCCTGAGTAACTTTTAGCTTGAGAAAGGGGAGGGAGGGTGAGCATCTTGTGGGGGCAGGGTGAAGGAAGAGCAGAGCAAATGCCTGGTGCCACCAAGGTTTCGTCCTGTGGCCCATTGCCTCTCCGTTAATACGAAGTGTTTTATTTGGGGCATGGGACAGAGAGTGCGACCCAACTTACTGTTCCTTTGTCCATTTAGTCACTTGGTGAATAGAGCTTGCTGGAATATCTGAATACAGGGTTTGAGTAATTTTTGTCTTTTGGCCTGTCTTCCAATCCTTCCACATAATTGCTAATAATAAAGGCTAGTGTTTACTTCCATACAGTATTGATAGTCATTCGCTGCTTGCTATGGTTAAACTAATTCTTTAAGTGCTCTCTGTAAACTTACTTGATCAATACAATAACCTGCTGAATCTGACACCATTAATACCCTTTTCTCGAGATGACAAGATAGCTAGAGAGGTTCTGTAATTTGCCCAGAGTTCTATAGATTAGATGGTACAGTAGGCAGCCCCGACCACCGCTCCCTTCCTTTTGTTCAGAATGCAGGGAGTAGCGCTCTGATGTCTCAAAAAAGAAAGAGGCAATGGGAAAGTGACCAGAATTCATACTTTGACAAACCAGTAGTGAGTGAACCATTGATTTCCACCCTCCAGTATTGCCCCATGTGAACTCAAGGCAACCTGAATCCTAGAATACCTGAGATGTAAGCTGAAAGAGCTCTAAGAGAAGCCCTATTGCAGGTATGGGGAGCAGGAAAGAGACACCTAAGACTCAGAGAGCCAGCGTGAGGAGGAGCCCGTGTTTCTTTCTTTTTTACCCTTCCGCCTTCAGCTTCTGGCAGTGCCACAGGCACACAGTGGCCGAACTGTGGCTGCACAGGGTCTAAAGGAAAAGAACCCTATTCTCTTACCTCAGCCTGCTCCAAGAGTGTGAGGCAAATCCCCTCTGCTTATTTCTCTGTTCTCTGGATGCTTGGTTCTGTAAGAGGAGAGAAACTAAAGTTTAAGCTTTCTGACAAGAGGAGCCCCAGGGGACCAGAAAGTGTTAGCCCAGAGAGGAGGAGAATGAAGAGACCAGCCACAATAGCTCCAGGCTTGTGACCTGAGCTACAGGCTGGCCCTCCAGTCAGGTTTGCCTGGCCGCCTGGTGACATATATGCAGGACTGATCCCAGTAACTGCACACACTCTGGAAATTAAACTGGTATTGGAACCTCAGTGCAAAGGAGCCTGATTGCTGTCTGAACCTACCTGCTCAATAGCTTACTAATACCATAAAGTAGCTTTCGCTTTAGGATTTTAGTGAGACCCAGAGTGACAAAAAGATGTTCAGAACATCCAGAATACAATCTAAATTTACCCAGCATAAATAGAATGCTCCAGGGAGAAGAAAACTGAGTCCAAATGACAGATGCTAGGATTTAAAACAAAGACTTCAAAGCAGCGAGTAAGTGGAATATACTTCAAAAAGAAAGGGAGAACACAAACAAATGGAAAGACATAACATTTTAGCAAAGAAATTGAAGATATAAAAGATAACCAAATGGAAACTTTAAACCTGAAAAATCACAATAATGCAAACAAAATATTCACTGGATGGATTTCATAGCAGAATGAAGATGATCAATATAAGTTGTGCAATCTGAACAACAGATGAAAAGAAAAAAAGACCAGAGTACCCTGAGGTCAAGAGTCCAGAAAGCGAGGGGGGAAATGGCTCAGAAAAATTAGAGCATATCACCACTAAAACCTTTCCAAATTTGCCAAGGCAAATATACAGATCCAAGAAACTTGGTGAACAGCAAACCAGATATACTTAAAAGAAAGCAATGTCTAGACATATCATAATCAAAATGTTGAAAATTAAAAAACAGACAAATGGTCTCAGAGCATTAGAGCAAAGCAATACACTTCATCCAGGGAAAATCATTAGAGTATGACCTGTCTCTTCTGAAACTATCAAAGTCCAAAGGAATTGAAACAACAAAAATCTGAAAGTAACTGTCAACTCAAAATTTTATATCCAATGAAACATCACATAGTAATGAATGTGAAATAGATATTTTTGACATAAGGGAAAAGTATAAGAATTTATCACCAGCAGATCTGTTCTAAAAAAAATGTGAAAGGAAGTTCTTCAGGCAGAAGAGAAATTCATGGGGAAAATTGAATGAAGGAAGCAACAGAAATTACAAATATAATAATGGATTCTTCAATTCTTTAAGATAGTTGAAAGGAAAAATTATAAAATTGATAGGATTCTAGTTTTTGTAGATGTAATATATATGATAAGGAAACGT